TCCAGGACCGTCCAAGAGGTGGTCTATAAATAGGCTCTTAGAGGTTAAGAGGTGTCTAAAAACCACCTGTTGGAAGGTGCTGGTAGGTTGGGGAAATGCTTTTCAAGAACTCCAGCTGCTAGGAACCGTTTACACTCCCTGCAATCATCATCGAAAGTGGATGGCGCCCGTGGCGCCCCCATGGGAATTCGGATGTCATGGTCTTCTGAACTTGGGGCCATGGATGCTTCGGAAAATGATCGCAACAGATGGCACAAGACAAGTCATTACAAACCATGAATACCCAGACACGACCCATGAGACTGCCATAGTGACTGCCATAGTGACTGCCATATATATATAATTGCGGAGAAAAGGATAACGGCCTGGAGTTGTTTGGGGGGGTCTTTCCGCGGTGGCATCAAAAACGACGTGCCATGGAGACATATAAATATCGTTCGGACCTTCCCTATATCCGGCCCGGACTCGCTCCCCAAGGCTGGCGATTGGGACTATGCTGCAGTGGCCTATCAAGAAGGTGTCCGCTACCTAGTGACGTGGCATTCCAAGCTTGCAGCGCGGAGAAGGCTGTTTTCTGCGGGGTGCAGCAGTCGAAACGGATTTATTGGAATTTTGTTTAATGAGTAATGTTATACTAATGTATAAAAAACTATTGCATAGTATGAATGGTTTTAAAAGTGGGTTGAGCTTTTGGTCTGTGGGATAGGGCCTTACACAAGGAGAGGTTTAAACTGAAACTAATCATCTATATTATAGTACACTAAGAGACAGACACTTAGAATATGGAATCCAAATATTTCCGTTTTAATTTTTTTCAGGATCCATAGGAGCAGGTAGGAACAGGTGCAGATAGAATATGGAGGACAGGTTGGAACAGTATGATTCAACTCTTGAATTCTAACTGCATTCCTTTCATTGAAGGGGTGGTCTAAAAGGCATGAGGAGAAGAGAACGGCTGTAGTTTCTTATCGTTTCTGTTGAAAAGCCAGAATATGCTACAGGCAGGACTAGTATGGTTGAAGGCTGTC